TTACAAAATAAATTATTATTGTAATGATTATTATTATAATAAATATTATTATACAATATTATATTATTTTAATAATTATTATAATTATTTTAATAAATNTAATTATTATAATTATTATAATAAATACTATTATATAATATTATATTATTATAATAATTATTATAATTATTATAATAAATACTATTATATAATATTATATTATTATAATAATTATTATAATTATTATAATAAATACTATTATATAATATTATATTATTATAATAATTATTATAATTATTATAATAAATACTATTATATAATATTATATTATTATAATAATTATTATAATTATTATAATAAATACTATTATATAATATTATATTATTATAATAATTATTATAATTATTATAATTAATATTATTATTATTATATAATAATAATAATATTAATTATAATAATTATAATAATTATTATAATTATTATAATTAATATTATTATTATTATATAATAATAATCCCAAATATATGCACCAGTAATATAAAACGAAAAAGTAATTCTTCAATATATAATTTTAGTTCTACTATTATAATATTGTTATAATATTATTATAATATTATTATAAAATAAATTATTATTATAATGAATAATATTATAGCAAATATCAAAATAGTAAATATTAAAATAATAAATATTATTATATAATATTGTAATATTATATTATTATAATAATTATTCTAGTGTCTTCGCAGTTTTGTATTAAATTTGGCTCGCTCATATTCATCGTCCGTTTTTACACGGCTTAAAAAGGTTCCGGAGAAAAAGCCGCGCAAAAAGAGGGGGAACACCGGAAGCGAAATGGTATTTAAACGCGTCTGATTCTGATTGCAGGTCTTCCAGCTCCGCCGGGGAAGCCGATTTTAATACCGGGAGCGGACGAATCGCAGCCCGAGGTGGTTGCCATTCGTTGGGAGAGGTCACCGAGTAACGGTGGCTCGGCCATCGTCGGATATCTCGTCGAGCACAGACGGCTCGGGTCGCAGCACTGGGTGCGCAGCGCGCCAGGGTTATGCACCTTTCCGGAGCTGACCTTGAGCGGCCTCGAGCCTGGATGGCGCTACCAATTCAGGATCAGGGCGCAGAACGCCGTGGGTCTCTCGCGGCCCAGCGAGATCTCCGATCCGTTGACTGTCACCTTGCAGAGGTCCGCCGCGTCCCCGCCCGGCTTCGACCTTGAGCTCAAGGACACGACCGTCCTCGAAAATGACCAGGTACTTGCTCCGCGTAAAATTGCAAAATCAATACAATATCAATACAATACAGTTAATACAAATTATATGTAACAAAATTATATATAATTAATTAATAATAAAAATTAATCGATTAATTGTTATCTTGCGTAAAGATCCAGAGTCTGCCGATAACAGAATATAAAGTACAATAATTAACGGTAGAATTAAAGTACAATAATTAATTAAACAATAATTAATAGTACACTTAAACGGTTGTGCTAGTTTCGTCATTTCAGGATGAAAAAGTTTAGCATTTAAAATACTAAATAAGAATATATATTAGTTATATTAATATATTATTATATTATATATTAATATATAATATAAATTATAATATATTAATATATTAATATTAATATATATTAATTGTTCGTTCATCAATGTTTACCATTTGTTTCTATGCGCAGGCCGAATTCGTGGTGCGATACACCGGCTCACCCCTGCCGAAGATCTCGTGGTTCAAAGACGGCTTCGAGATCTTCAGCAGCAGGCGAACTAGGATCATCACGGACAGCGGGCGAAGTGTTCTCTTGATCCATCAAACAGCCCTGAATGACGAGGGCGAAATCAAGTGCACGGCCACCAACAGAGCCGGCCACACTAGTACCAAAGCTAGACTGATGCTCGAAGGTGTGCAGGATATTCGATTTCATACTGAAACTTCTCGCCGTGTTTTTTTTAAATATTTAACCAAGGCGTAGCTTCATTTTCAAAGCTTTCGATTTTCGAAAATAATTGTTAAAATGTATATATTGCTCCTCTGTGTTCAAACAGTGACAATTCTTTCAATCTGTCCACTACTTTCAATTGCAAATAGTAGCAACTTAGTAGCTTATTTAGTAGCATATTTAGCAGTTTATCTAATAGCTAATAGTTTATTTAATAGCTAAATTTAATGGCTGGCAAACATATTTTTACAAATATCCTGATTTCTTTAACGCTGCATTTACATAGCATTAAAATACTGGCTACTATACAGCGTGTCCCATAATTATGTTAACAGGCAGAGACATGCGATTTCTGAGGTCATTTGAAGCAACTTTTTCCTTAGCGAAAATGTTCTACGAGGCTTCGTTTACGAGCTATTAACGAAAAACGCTGACCAATGAAAGATCGCGTACGGCTGACGCCCCGCCCTCGCGGCTGCTACCGCTGCGTCAGGCGGCCGGCGCGACGCGGCATTGGCCTCGAGGGTGGTGCGCCGGCCGCACTCGCTCTCCAATTGGTCACTGTTTTTCGTTAATAACTCGTAAACAAAGCCTCGTAGAACATTTTCGCTAAGGAAATAGTTGCTTCGAATGACCTCAGGAATCACCTGCTTCCGGCTGTTAACATAATTATGGGACATCTTGTATATTACTTTATAAAAGTACGAATAATATGTTTATTCGATAAATTCCTCCTCGTAATAATAATAATAATAATAATAGTAAATAAAAAATAATTAAATGTGTCCTGACAATCTTAAAGTAAACGTAACGGTAATCGCGAGGCTCGTACGAGTTTTGGATAATGATTCCTCGATTTTCATCGACTTTTTCGTTTGTCCAGCGCCACCAAAAATCCGGCTCCCGCGACAATACGAGGACGGGCTGCTTTTCGAACAGGACGAGACTATCAGATTGAAGGTGACGATGGCTGGACGACCCCCGCCCTCCGTGATGTGGTATCACGACGGCGAATTGATATCGGATGACAGCAGACACGTCTTCGAGACGATGGACATCGAGGCGATTCTAAAGATACCGGATGCCAAGCGCATCGACAGGGGAGAGTACACGGTCAAAGCCATAAATAAACTTGGGGAGGACATATCTTCATTTCTAGTTACAGTCACAGGTTAATATAAATACAATGTAGCAGCAGGGCTGTGAAGAATGCATTAACATTCTTCGCGCGAATTAAAAACGACGGCGAATAGATTTTGAATAGAAATCTAAATTGTAATAGATTTTTGTAAGAATTTCAATGGCGGATTTAATTATAATGGAATTTTATTCTAAATTTTAGAGGGTAACAGATCTTTAATGTAAAATTTGATTCTGATAGTTTTTAATATAAAATTTAATTATAATGGATTTTCAATATGACATTTAATTATAATGGATTTTTATTATAAATTTAAATTGTAGTAGATTTTTGATAGAGATTTAAATTACAGAAGATTCTTATAGAAATTCAAATAGAAAATTTAATTGTAACGAGTATTTATCGTAAACTTAAATAGTAGTAAATTTTCAATAGAAATGTAAATTATAACAGTTATTTATAGGAATTTCAATATAAAATTTAATTGTAATTAATTTTTATTATAACTTTAAATTGTAATAGATTTTCGATAGAGATTTAAATTACGGTAGGTTTTTATATAGAAATTTCAATATAAAATTTAATTGTAATGAGTATTTGTCATAAATTTAAATTACAATAGCTTTTTAACACACAAACTTAAATTATAGAAAATTTGTATAGGAATTCAAACAAAAATCCGCATTTGAGCGATTCTCTAATGAAAAAATTGCGCTTTCAGACCGACCGGCCGCGCCTGGGAAAGCTATGGTCACCATGACACTGGGCAGGTCGGTGACACTGTCTTGGCAGGAACCAGAGGACGACGGTGGTTGCAAAATAGGAACGTATATCGTCGAGTATTACAGGGTGGGTTGCGCAAACGTTACTGCGACGATCGGCGCAAATTTACGTTCCCCTAATAGATCAACGATTAACTATAAATAATTGTTCCTTAGATTGGCTGGGACGTTTGGTTGAAGGCGACCACCAGTAGACAGACCAAGGCGACCTTGTCGGAGCTGATCGAGGGATCGGAGTATAAATTTCGGGTGAAGGCTGAGAATCCTTATGGCATGAGCGAGCCTAGCGAAGAAAGCGATGTGATCTTCATTCCAGATTTAAAGAGAGGGTACCGTTCGAAAATTTTAATTATCTAACATACCGACCGAGATTGTCGAACGATAGACAAAATGTTGTTCTAACGCTGTCGAACGGTCATATAAAGTATGTCAACTTATAACGATAATAACGGTACAGTAAATTCTACCTAATTGAAAAATTAATAAATGAGATTATTAATATACAATTATATTATATATAATATAATTATACATTATATATATTATATTAATAAATGAAACTAATAATATGTAATTATATTATACATATCTTATATATTATTAATTTAATTTATTAATTATATGTAATATAATTATACATTATATATATTAAATGAATAGATGAAACTAATAATATATAGTTATATTATATATAATGTAAGTATATATTATTAACTTTATTTATTAATTTTTCAATTTTCAAATATATAATATAATTTAATAATAAAATTAATAAATGTACAATTTGTGTGGAAAGAGAAGATATTTTTATAGTTGTCTATACATAGTTGTATACATTATTATGGTATTTCTATAGTCACAATTGGCGATAATAAAAAGGCGCCGCGATTCTCGACATTCCTGGGAGAAATTACTGTAGTTAACATGCTTTTTTTGCTTCTCTGGAAAAACAGTATAGTGACACCTTCCATGGGCGGGAAGTCGCAGAGCCACCGTGAAATCCGATCGCGGGAGAAGCGCGAGGTGAGCTTTGCCATGCCGACTCAAAGAACGAGAAGCCTGACGCGGGAAGAGGGCCGGGGCAGGGACGAGGAGGACGAGGGACGTTTCGGGCCCAACAGCCGGTCCGTGTCGGCTCAAAGACTCAGCAGACCGTCCAGAGCGGACAGCAGAGTCACATTCGCTATGGACACGTTGGACAAGTCGGAGCCGCCGGTGCCCCCTGCCAGATCGAGGGATCATTCCAATACAAAGCACGACAGCCGATCCGAGATTTACGCGGATCGCTCGAGTATCGGCGCGAACGTAACGAATACCGAGGCAAGTCGTTCGTTCCTCTGCCGACCAATTTTCTATCGAATGTTTTTAATTGGTGGATTGCGGATTTGGTGCATTCGTGGGAAAAATACGAGCACAGTAAATTCTCCCAAATTTTCCTTTAGCAAACAAAAGTGGACAATTCATAGAAACTATTTTTATAGTATAGTCATACTAGTATATCATAACAATTACGTGCACTAATATATTTAATATAAAGACGAGCACAGTAAATTCTTCCTAATTTTTCTTTCAGCTGGTAAACAAACGTGAAGAATTCATGGAAACTATTTTTATTTGATTTCTGTTTCGACAAATTATCTTGGAAAAAATTGTATTTCGGTGCTTATTAGTATCTTGCCGAATACCTTATTAAGTCTAATACATAAGCGAAAAGTTATTAACAAATATTTCTTGCTAAGAATAAAACGACTTCGTTGTGCAACGCTGAAATTCACTGTTCGCGATAATTGTTGTAATTATTCTGAGACATAGCTGGTAATCTATCGACATATACGATCTATAAATGAACCCTTTCATGGGCACCATATGAATTTTCAAAAAAATTGGAACATTCGCTTACCGTAATTTTATCATATAATGGTATTATTACATTATATTGCTATAATTATATAATAATTATTGCTTATAATATATAATATATATAATATAATAGCATATATACATATAATATATTGC